TTAACGTGCTTGTTTCTTATTGGTGATATATCATTTGGTCTGCAAATTTGATTTAAAAATTAATATCCATTATTCCTTAAATAATTATCAAACTTTATTCAATAAGACGAAAAACTCTTCTTCACAATATATAGTTGTTTGGACCCAATTTTACACTATCGACTCGTGCAATCAAGGCCGTTGATGAACATAGCTCTCAACCGTTGGATGACAAAATTGTTAAGATAATTATTATTGAAGGATATATTGTGGTTTTAATCATGATATTATCTTTTAATGAATTATCCTGACACTTTTCTTATACGAGATAAATGTGAAGCGATTCATATCCCGAATAAGCAGTACAATTCGAATTGATTTGGGATGTCTGACAGCACTTGGAAGTAAAATGAATTTAAAATTCATTTGATCAGAATGATGATGGCTATTGTTGATGAGGTGAGGATGAAGAGTAGGTAGATAGAGGTTTATTGTCAGATGAAGTGAATTGGTGATGGACATGGCCTGCATGCCGTGTCAAAGGCTATATATATATATGTATATATATATATGTATATAATTGATGGTTGATTAGATGGACGTTATCCAAGCATGCGGGTTATCTTGGATTCGATGAGATAAGATGAGTTTTAATAGTTTGGGAGTCTGTCTCATCTTATCAACCAATGTGTATTCGTCACTATAAATACAGAGTCGCAGGCAACATTCAAGGCCCTCTCCAATTCAACACACAAAACTACCCTGCGCAAACTTTCTCAACAACTTTGAGATTTTTTATTCTCTCTTTTCGCTAACACATCTTCCGTTGGCATCAACAGTACTGTGAAAGCAACCAGTGATATCTTAAGTCGGCATAGATAGCTCTGTCACCGTAGAATCAGCCGGTCTCGCAGCATCTTCTATTGGCATCAACAGCACTACGGCAAGGACGGTTGATTACCTATCCAAGTCTCGGTCGAGAAGGATTTCTGAATCCTTATTGGTCGAGGTCATCTCATCAGCCTTCTCGGCAAAGTGAGGTGTTACAGTTATTACATTCGACACATTGAAAGACGAATTCGATTCGTGAACTTCGTAAGAATAGTAGCCTTGTCTTCAGCCTCGAGAATCTAAGAGGCCGAGACGTGTTCCTTTCTCGGCCACAATCGCAAGACGCAGAAGTCAGTAGCGCGACCCAACGCAACATCAACAAATTTTACTCCTCGGCCGAGCTCGGCCGACGAGTTGGCACGCCCCGCACATTCACCGAATGACGTAGTTAGCTTATAGATTACTCGACCTGCATGCCACGTAGGCTTGGTAGTTTTTAGGGTCAACAATAGCTCATTAACTTATTATGACTATGAAATATGAATTTTATTTTATTTTAACTGGAACCAACCAAATAGTCATTAACTTATTATGACTGAAATTTGGGGAGATCCAAAAAGAAAATATATTGATTTACTACAAACAATAACCAAGAAATACTTGAGTAAAGATGTCCTAGATCACATCACGCTATTTATATTTTGAAATCTTTTGTATGTGGGGTAATGTTAAGGAGTTTAAAATTTTAAATTAAATTTACAAATCAAATAATGTGTCATTGGTAGAAAATAAATACGTTAATCACGACTTAAATAATAATTCAATCATCAACGACCATATTATTTGATATACAAATTTAGTCATTCGACACTATACTTCAATCACGTAACTTGAAAACGATCGTAAGTAGACAACTCTACAGAAATTTAGTTCACAATATAAAGTGTAAAGCATAAACATTATCATTTGTATTGTATCAATATATTTTTTTTCACCCTTGTAATTTAAATATCTCATTTATATAGAAAAAAATAATGGAAATGGGACATACAATACAAGGCTGCCCGTTATTTCCACAGAAAAAAGCATAAACGAGAATCACAAAAAATAGAAAGAAGGCAAATTTGATCTGCGGCCACAAAAACTCTGAATCGTAAGACGCCAACTTACCCCTTTACGCAACACACAGATAACACACGCTTTCGCTCTCTCTCTCTCTCTCTCTCTCTCTCTATAAATTTGTCTCTTTGGTACGAATTGCACAAGTCAATCTGCTCAATTCGATTCCCATTTTTCCAATTAGGGATTTCATTGTAAATCGAAAAAGAATCAGAATTTCATTTGTATTGTGGGGAATTTCTCAGTTCTAATCTTAAATTATAGGGTTTTGGGTTCGGGAGCTGAAAGATGGAAGCAGCAGCACATCGAGTGTTTTCCAATCATCAATCGCCGCATCCAGGCCTTCCAATTCGATTGGTCGGTCGGGGATTTTGACGGCCCATGGCCCCGGATTTCTGCGTTTGGGTCCCAAAGCTCACTCGCCAAGCAAGGTAATTGATGAGAATTCTAGGGTTCTTGTTGCTTTTCAATTTTGCATGATCCCGAATGGTTTGTGAGTAATCGGTTCCCCTGATAATTGATGAGAATTCTAGGGTTTCTGTTAAATTCATAAATGTTCAATCTTTGATTAGGATTTTAGCGCTTTTAGTTGATGCAGTTCAATTGTGTTGTTTATAGCATATGATTTACTGTCTATGCCAAAAATCAATTTCTGAGCCTCATCTGATTATTTTGGAATATTTCTATCTACGATAGAAAATGGAGATGTACTTGAGTAATATTTGATCTGATTCCTTGTTTAGCAGCATCAGTTTTCAATCTGTCAACCGAAGGTGGGGCATAGGAGAATGGGATATGGAAGCAGGAGAGGCTTGGTAGTTAGGGCGGCAGCTGCATCTTCGTCTCCGGACTCAGCTGGTTCTGATTCTCCAATTGCCCCACTTAAGCTGGAGTCTCCAATTGGGCAGTTCCTCTCACAGATAATGATAAGCCACCCGCACCTCGTGCCTAGTGCAGTGGACCAGCAGCTTGACCTGCTTCTAACCGACCGTGATGCTGAGGAAAAGAAGGAAGAGCCTTCTGCTTCTGGTACCGACATCGTTTTGTACAGGTTAGTTGCGATCTCGAGATTGAGTGCTAAGCTAATAGCCACTGATGTTTTCAATTAAATCAAGTTAAGCTGCAGAATGAACCTTAAGTTTGATGCTGTTTTCCTTATGAAAATCAGAATAAAGGAAGCAAGTTTGAAATTTTCGTGTAATTGTCCAGAAGACAAGACATGGGACGAAAATAATCGAAAAGAATGAAAAGAAAAAGAATATTCGTTCTTTATGTTGTTTAAAGTTTCCCTTTTTGTCATCATTTGTTATGTGTGTCTAAATGGAGAATTGCAGTTTTGGAGTGAGATATTGGTCTTTTACTAACTTCTTCTGCATTATCAGGAGGATCGCCGAGGTTAAGGCTACTGAAAGGAGAAAGGCCCTTGAAGAGATTTTGTATACTTTGGTGGTGCAGAAATTCATGGACGCTAATGTTTCTTTAGTACCTGCCATTACCCCCACTGCTTCATACCCTTCTGGCCAAGTTGATTCATGGCCAAGTCAAAATGAGAAGCTCGAGCAGCTTCACTCTCCCGAAGCGTACGAGATGATTCAGAACCACCTGTCTCTCATCCTAGGAAATCGGTTGGGTGACTCGACCTCCTTAGCTCAGATTAGCAAACTCAGAGTCGGCCAGGTTTATGCAGCCTCTGTCATGTATGGGTACTTCCTCAAACGGGTTGACCAGAGGTTTCAGCTTGAGAAGACAATGAAGATCCTTCCAAGTGCAATGGGTCCCGAAGACAGTGATATTCAGACATCCGTGGGGCAGGACATGAGGCCTGGCGGTGGAGAGGATACTTTGCAAGCAGGGGCTTCTTCGCATCCTGAAGTCTCTTCCTGGGCTGGAGGCATTAGTTCTGGGGGTTTTGGTAATGCGATCAAGCCTTCCCGTTTGCGTACTTATGTGATGTCGTTTGATGGAGAGACCCTTCATAGGTATGCAACAATTAGATCGAGGGAGGCCGTTAGCATCATTGAAAAGCACACCGAGGCATTGTTTGGGCGACCCGATATTGTCATCACACCTCAGGGGACTGTTGATTCCTCCAAGGATGATCACATCAAAATTAGCTTTGGTGGTTTGAGGAGACTTGTTTTGGAAGCTGTGACTTTTGGCTCTTTTCTTTGGGACGTCGAGAGCTATGGTGGATCCAGGATCATCATTTTGTTGCAAACTGAGTTATGTCAAGTTCCATTCCAGTTCCGCCATAGTTAAAACACGGTTCAGTTTATTGTGGTAGGATACAGGCTGCTAATTGGCTGTGCCCTTTATGTAAAAATGGGATTAATGGATTGCTACTTTGTGTAAAACATTTTGAGTTATTTGCCAAGGCAATACAAGCAAATTTGTCCATTTTTTATGCTGTATATAATGGTGTATTTGTTTCATACATAAACTCCTTGCTTTTTGTCAACTTTTGAACTTGTAAAAAAATTTCATGTTAATTTGGGAAATTTTTTCAGAATGAAACTCAAAATGTACTTTTCATTAGAATGCAAGAATTTGCATTGGCAACTTTTTTGATTTTTTTTGTAAGCGTGGGTTACACTCAGAACGCAAATTTGGTTCATAAGAAGACAACTTGGCAAAATCCAATCCTTATGAGTCATTCCGTTTCTTGAATGTTTAGCGCCTTCTCCATGGACTTTGTGCGACCCAAACCGTACCGGAACATTCATCATAGAAAAGCAATTCTGCATCAATCCTGGTATCATTTGCATTTTCATGCAAAAGCTGCACTGCCCGTTCATAAGCTGAAATTCCCTTTAATAATTCTTTGTTCTTCGATCCTTTCCATGCCTTCGACCCACCACCGCTGGTCCAGGTTGCATTTGGTGCACACAAATTTTCCAAGATAACATGTTTTCCTTTTTTTCATACGCATCCGTTGGTTCACCTGGGTTTCATGCATTAAAAACGTTCAAGGTTTGCCTGAGATCGCAAAATCATACGAGAGATCGAAACACGTATACAAACGTCTCTCTCTCTTCTCTCTTCTCTCTCTCTTCCTCTCTCTTCTTCTCTCTCTCATGCATAGCAGCACAAGAAGTTACCTCAAGAATGGGCAGAATTTGGTCTACTACTTCTTTGGTGTCTCCATGAGACCCTATGCTTCTGATTGTGTTGATCCAACGACTTACTTATTTTGTTTACAAGAATTTCCTTAATGCAAAATCTAGATCCTGTTCCCAACATAAACAAATGTATTATGTTTACTGGCAGGAAAATCCATTGTTGTAAATGGGAACATGATGGGAGAAAATTAGGAATGCCACTATCGCGGTATCTCAACTCTCAAGTCAATAACACACCGCATGCGTTTTAAATTTCTCATAGAGCAGTTTGTGATTGATTTGAGATACTGTCAAGCGAAATCCCTGTTTCGTTCTCAAGCTGATGAGGAACGGGAGGAGTACCTTCAGGAGGTTGGAGATGTACTCCTTCCTAGGAAGAACACCTCTCCAGTCATGCTTGTAGTACTTTTGCCTCAAAAAGTACTTGTCCACGAAAGGGTTGGTGTCAATGAAGAAGAAATCTGCAACTTGTGTGTTGACAAGAAAGGACCTGAGGCAAAGCCACCGGCTGTCCATCTTCCTAAGGACCGGACTCAACTGGGCCAAAGCGTTTCCCCGGTAGTCATGGTTGCCGAGAACTGAAATCGACCAGATTTTCCCGCCAACATAAAAACAAAGTCAGCTGAGCTCCATCCCAATTCAATTGCCACTATTGTTACGAAAATCAGAGGACATCCATGTATAACATATATTGCTGAATTTAACAATTGAATGTGCATTGAAGAATCAACGAGAATTTAACGGGTGAATCTGAACTGACTTAAAAATGTACAAAGCAACGAACTCACCAAGATACCATTGCTTTTGCAGGCTCTGAGCAGTGTAGATTTCAGTAAACGACTTTAGAAATGCAGGGTCGTTGACGCTGGTCAATCCCCTGTTGTAAAAGTTGTCACCCGTGGAGATGACGAAGTCTACGTTTAATTTGGCTCCAATCTTCCCCATCTGCAATTAAGTATTTACAAAATGCAATTGTACTTGTACATAGAGGAAAAGAACAGCCACTCATTACTTTTAGGAAGGAAAAGGAAGGATCCTATTTCTTTTCATGTGGATTCCGGGAATTTCATAATTGGTGACCGTTCATTGTATATCTTATGGTCAGTTTTTATTAGGTAATATTATACAATTTAAAAATCTTTTTGTGCGTCAATGATATACCGTATAATAGGTGCATGAGCGGATTCTGGAATTCACAAAAAAAAAATCCGAGGAGAATCTTTTTCATCAAAAGCATTTTTAGCAACATTCCATTGAAAAAGTTAAATGTGCTTTATGAGTTAATAAAAAGCACTTTCAATATATGTCATATATAAAAGTAAAGCAAACCTCTGTCCAACTCTATGTCGATGATAAAAAAGTAAAACAAATCCTGGTGTAGCAAAGCTGATGAGAACAATGTGTTCCTCCTCCGTAACTCGCATAAAAATGATAAAAAAGAACAACAAAGTAAAGAAATATAGTTAACAAAGTTAACCTGAAAAGCAACTTGAGATTGATTTGTAACACCCCTTCTATCCCAGTCACCAACCGCCAAAAAAGTGAGTGGCCATAGTTTCACCAGGGTGTTCAATCGCTGAAGCTCCGCACGTAGACACAGAAAAGAGCTCACAACAGACAATATTCTTGCAAACAGACCACCCACAGTAACCCCAGGCAATGGACATCATAGCCAATAATTATGTTGTCTGTCTCTGCTGTGGTAGTGTGTGTGTGGAGAGAGAGAGAGAGAGAGAGGAGAAGAGGGAGGGTGGTTGGAAGTTGGAACAAGGAAGAAAGTCAACGTTGAGTGTATTTGATATTATATAAGAAGGGGAAAGTGCTTTAGTTAATATGAATTATTGTTGTGAGGGCCATGTAATATGTACATTAGATCTTTGAATAGGAAACTGTACGGACATACAACATACAAGGGAAAGTAAATGCTACGTAGACCCTTCTAAATACCGTTTGAAGTTAAAAAGAAAACTAATGAAAGATGATTCGTTAATTTGAATTTTAACTAATAAATGACAAAATAAGCATAATGAATAGTATGAAGTTAACTTTTTAATGTGAAAAGTACATTTTTCGTTAAAATAAATATGTTATAAAAAATATTTGCGTTAAATCCCTATATTATCTTCCAAGTCCGGCATCTGTGGTCAAATAGTGATCAATGACTGGCGTCCCATCGATGGGTCTAGGTCCCAGGGTTGCTTCCGTCCCTCCTCTCAATCCTAACTTTGTTATTTCCCTTTCAGCTTGTTTTTCTCTTTCACTTTCAGGTTTTGGGATCGTACTCTGGCAATTGAGTGATAGAGAATCCTACTTCATTGAGTGATGGTCCTGCACTGATCACTTGCTAGCTCAATTCCAAATATATACAGAAAGGAATGAAGCATGATGCATAAGTTTTTCTACAAATCATTAGGTCTTTTGATGATAGAACAACTCTTTTAATAATATACAAGTCATGCAACGAATTCACATGAACTTGCTCTACATTCGATCTAACACTGATATAGTTTTCAACTTAATAATTTGGGACAAACTTCAGCGCCGAAGTTGATCCACACCGATGACTTATACCAAGCCGTACAAACTCCAACAATATATATCTTGGTAAACATTAAAATGGTATCTTGGTATATTTTGTACAAGGTGCTAGGAAGAACTGAAATGATGGCTTAATTTTGTGTTCTAGTGTCTCATCACCTAGGATATGTTGAAAGAGAGCTACGCTAAACGTCCTTATTTAGGTTTACCTCATCTTGATTCTTGTCCAAGAAACCTCTTATTTATATATTATAGGTTATTGAGTTTCATACATGAGGGAATGTTTCCGGCTCAGAACATATTTGCCAAGTAGCTAGAATTTGGGTTCGTTTAAAATATTATATTGAGCAATAAAATTGTGGTGATCGAAAGAAATCGACTAATTGCATGTGTGTAAGGCAGTGTACTTTGCCTCCTTGCTCTGCAGTTCGATCCTTCTTGTCGTACATCAAAGTAATTTAGAATATCGTCATGTTAAAAATAAGAATCGACCAATTTGATAAGAATCAATTTAGCCGAAAGAGGTACATTTTAAGAATAAGAACAATTTGGGAATTGAATTCAACTACAATTTTTGTTCTTGCAACAACAATCTATATATAATACGTTCCCCATAGGATCTAGCTACGAAGCTTGATTTATATGGAGGGGTGAAGCTGCTTGGAAGCATTCAGTCTATGTAAAACCTTGCCATAAACATCATAAAATGCAATCTCTGCATCTGTGGGATTCAACTTCACAGACATGAAGCCTTGACCATCATAAAAGAAGTTGAGCCCTTCTTTGTTCAGCCCCTTAACATCTCCCCTCCATGCTTTAGACCCTGCTCCGCTTGTTAGAAATTGTATCGGGCTGCATTTACATTCGAGTTTCAATCAGCATCACCATCATATGGCGTCACATACAAATTAAACTTTTTCGGCAAGACTCACGTTTGGTGCCTAGGATTGGATCAAATGGGATAATCACCACCAGATTCAATGTGTTGAAGCAAGAAATGAATGTTTAACTTCCAAATGTAGTGAGTTTTCCAATCCAGGGTACCAAACAAGGCCTTCCAATTTTAAGCAACACCATGAAAATTGAAAAGGACTACCTAAATTAAACTTACCTCTCCAAGTCACTAACGTGTTCTAGGCAATGATCGTGCCCGTTCATGTAAAAATCGACGTCATTGACCTGAGATTTACGAAGATGTAGCAGAGTTGACTTTCTACATATGACATTATTTCATCTCATCTATTTTTATCGAAGATTTATAGATATACATACCCGAAGGATTGGGAGAAGCTGGTTTGTAAGTTCCTGTGTGTCACCATGATGTCCCACACTTCTAATTGCATGGTGTCCAACAACAATCTTCCACTTTGCAGAGGATTTCTTCAATGCCAACTCCACATCCTATTACAACATCAGATACATCAATATGCAATGCATCATTGTCTTCGTCAAGATGTCAATCTGGCGGTATCTCACGCTAATTGCGCACTTCCATGCGTTTTAAATTTCTAACATTTTAGGCAAGACCTTCAAATTCAAAATGGTAGCAGAAAATTGATTATACCTTCAACAAGTTTGCAATATAAGCCTTCCGAGGGGCAATGCCGCGCCAATCGTAAGTATGTTCGTCTGCGTTTGTGAAGTACTTATCCACCAAGGGCGTGGTGTCCACGAAGAAAAGCTCTGCTAATTCTGGAGGAAAAAGGATAACAGGAAGAAATTGGTTGTGAATTATGATCGAGTTTCATAGGAATTTGAATTCATTGTGTAGAACGGATGAAACTCGTCTTATCTTATGCACACCTGTATTCACAATGAAAGACCTCAAGCAAAGCCATCTGCTATCGATTTTCCGCAGAAGGGGGCTCAGCTGAGCCTCTGCATCTCCCCTGTAATCATGGTTTCCCAACACTGCATTCAAAGTAAACCAAGGAAAAAAATTATTTAAGATTTAATATAATAAATAAAATATACATTTTCATTAACTTTCGAACGTGAGACAACTCTCCACATCCTCGCAGAAGAAACTTATCGCTATACCACTGCTTCTGCAGGCTCTTTTCTGTATAGATTTTGGTAAACGACTCTTCAAATGCTGTGTCATGCTCGCTGGTGAGTCCATTGTCGTAAAAGTTATCTCCCGTCGACACCACGAAATCTATGTCAAGTTTCTCTCCAATCCTTCCCATCTGCAACAAAAGTAGTTGTGCATGCCAGAGCGAAATGTTACTAGCACTCCAAAAATGTTACTTCCGTCAAAATCATAAGACGATCATTATATGAATGAGAAGAAGGTTTGGAAGAAACCTGAAGGGCAACTTGAGATTGGTTGAAATCTCCTCTTCTTCCCCAGTCCCCAACCACCAAGAAACTGAGTGATCCATCTTGTTTGGTGGGGTGGTCGAATCTCTGAAGCTCCGCAGATGTAATTACCAGACACAGGCCAAAACTGAGGATCAAGAAAAACATAGAGGTCCTGCAATTTTTACAAGGAATAGCCATGGATGGCTTTGGAGAAAATATATGAACCGAGGCAAAAGGTATAGACTTGATGACTATTTGGAGGTAAGCTTCTTCCTTGTTCAAAGTGTCACGGTCCACTGCCTTTATATATAACAAGGTTGATAGCCTTTATATATAACAAGGTTGATAATTAAGTAGGAGATGCTTAATTATAATTATTATGGTGATGATGCAAAAGGGTTGGGATTAGTTACCAATCAATTTTGAAATGCTAGTCCGTTATGCAACGACAAGATAAATACTAATAAGAGAAAAATCTTAAGTTATAACCAAGAAATTAGAACAAGGTATGCAAGGAATTGAGTATACCCACAGATATCCTCATCGACGTGTGAGTTGGTGGACACAATTATCTAGCTGTTGTACTTTTGAACTTGAAACATTTTTCAATATCAGGACTTGTAATTTGTCCCGTAAATATTAGTTAATCAGTAAAATTTGTAAGTTTTTTAGATTCTTTGTGTATAAAATATTGGTTGGATATGATTGGGTTTGGCAGGGAGAAGGTGGGAGTATTAGTTTCATGGATTATAAAATGGTTGGCAGAAACTGTTAGGGTTTGCATACACGATGACGAGATGCGAATATGCGCGGGCATATATGTTGGAACCGTTAGAATATTCGGAGGATCCAAATCCAAGGTCGGTAACAAGTAACAACCACTTTGCCTCCCGACTCGTAATATGGCATGGCAGATGCCATCGTCTCCAAATAAGATTTAGCCAAAATGGTCTCTTCAACCTTCGTATGTTGGATTGGACGGGACCAGTCAGAGACTCTTTATCTTTTATTTTATTTTTAGTTCAAGGCCATGTAGTTTTTTTCCTTTTATAATATCTTTTAAAGTCTTGTGCGAGACACCGTCTTCCGAAAGAGAAAAGGCTAGTGAAAAATGAAACAAGCGGAGAGATTAGGCCACAACACACTATAAACAATTAACAAAATTGAAATGTTCTGTTTTAAAAATTCTTGAGCTTGAATCACTTGAAATTGGATTTTCATAATTCTGCTACTCATATTTTAGCTAGCAATACCCACCTCCTCATCATCAATTTTTCTCCTCATGACCTCGAATGCAAGAATGGAAGCCCAACGTAATCTCTTCTATAAGGTGTCTCAGCAAAATCAAGTATCAAGTCCCACAACGTAAAATTATTATTCATTGCACCAAAATTAGAAAATTCATCCGCCAAACAATTTCTTTCACTAAAAATACGTGAAAAGCACAAGCGAGCAATATACCATAACAAATTCACCCAAGAAACTTTGAGAAACAATGGAACATCTATGGAACAAGCTGATAGAAGGTGGATGACATGAATAGAATATGTCTTTAACCAAATATGATGCCTTATCCCACCCAATATGAATTGCCTCGATCACAGCAACAAGAATCTCATATTAACGTATCACGTTTTGTTTTTATAGTTTTTTCACACTTTGAAGATTGTGAAAACTGAAAAGAAAAAAAAAAATAAGAACACGTGGTTTGGTAATTTTGGCGTATACCTTTATGTCATTAAATAAGAATGAGAAAATTTGAAAGAGGTCCAATTTTATAACCCATCTTTTGAAATATGTTCAATTTTTAATGATTTTTTACTTTTGAAATAAATCCAATTTTTAGTCCAATTGAACCCATATCAAAAGACCCCAATAAGAATCCCGTTAACTCTTTTCAATTAAACAATATTTTAAATTACTCTAATTTATGTGTAACTGGTTCATAGAGTATTCTTCTTCAACTCATTGTATTCTTTGTTGAAACCTTTTCTCTCCCCTTAATTTAGCTTTGAGTAAGAATATCGCTTGTAATAAAAATAAAAAACAATTTAATTTGAAAGATAGGTGCACAAACTTGGATGTAAGAGACACGTTGTTCTAATCAACTGACATAACCTAAAATGCACAATTCGATTATTAACCTAAAACCAAAACTAGGGTTGTGAAGTTGTCATAGCCAAAGGGTTAGTATTTTGGGTTGGCCCAAAATCTAATATTTGACCTAAAGTAGGCCTTATAAATTTCAGCCATTAAAACCCAAAATCCGAATTATTTTTTTAGTCGGCCCAAAACCTGAGGTCCGTTCGGATACTTGAGGGCATTTATATATTAGCTGAAAGCCAGAAAGCCAGAAAGCCAGAATTCAATTCCTCATTAGGGATTTGCTTACGTTCAAGAGAGCATATCTAATTGGGGTCAGATTGATAGCTCTCTTAAAAATGCTAAGAGCAGAAGATGAAGACGCTTCAGAACTCAAACTTGGAGACGGTAACTGATAAATTATTATCAATTTCTTTCAAACTTCTTAACTGGATGCGATTGCGATTTTCAGTCATGACCTAGGCATAAACTTTTGTGTATCAAAACTCAAAAAGGCACAAGACCAATGGCACTGTAAACGTGATATTGTACAATAATTTGCGTTCATAATTCAAAGATATAATAATTTAAGATGTGAGACGAAGGATATGGAATATATATATATTTTTTTCTTGGATTTATGCACTTTAATTGAATTTGTGTAAAGATGAACATTACTCCGTGAAATCATTATCGTTGTTTTAAGAAAGCATGCTAGGGCATAACTTTTTGTATCTTCAAGCACTCAATTTCTCTAACTTACCACCATAATTAATTGTAAACCTAGTTTGATTCAATCTTAGGGTAATATCCGGTCGTGATTTGATTTGCGTTGGGAATAATTGATTAGTAACGATGAGGTTGGGGTTGTCAGATTTTTTGAAGGCAAAGTGTCTAATGAATAGTGAGGTTGCCATTCTTCTTGAGCATAGATGTGATCAGATGAAGCATATGTCCGGCGAATCAATGCACCAACTTCCCCAGTAAGATTTAATTCTAGTACTCTTGACATCAAAATCTTGTACAAAATTATGGATTATCAGTTAACATATAGTTAGCTGGTTGATAGAAAAGGTGCTTATTAACTTTTTCTTGTCCAGGCTTATTAACTTACTGATCACATGTTATTTTCATGGCCAGAGTGTTGGAGAAATCACTGCAGTATGTTAAGCGCTTTAGTCGCTTCACGAATCAGGGCTCTGTGAAGCAAGTTCGAGAGTATCCTTCGTTGTTGATATAATTTCAGATATCGTCACACCGATGAATTAGTTTATGTATGGTCTGGTGAAATCTTTAGGATTCATGTTGGTTCAATACAAGCATGCAATGCCAATATAATGGAGTAACTTACTATTGATATAGGTTATCCAATTGCACTTCATAATCTAATTATTGTATTCTTCTTTTCACTATACATCATTTATACACGTTTAATCCTTAAGTAAATATTCAGAGTTCTCAGTAGATACCAGTTGGCTGAATTCGAGGTAATGTACAAATAATCAAAGGAACAAACTACTCTTTGTTTTAGATAATAGCCCTCATATATTCTCTACACTGCAGCTTGCTGTGATTGGAAATCTTTGTCCTGAAACTGTGGAGGAAGCCAAGGCAGTTGTGCCTTCTCTCAAGGTAATGTTGTAAATGTCATAATTCATGTCTACATATCTCAGGTTACAACAAGGCAAACATTTATATCTCAGCATCGCACCACTTCATGCCTGTTTGATAATCTTTAGGTTTTTAATTAGTTTTCAGTATTTGGCGTAATATGGCAACTTTGTATATCTTTACTTTACTTCTTATTATGTCAATTTGGTGTATGTATGTCTGCAAAAACTAAATTGTGATGAATCTCCTGCCTGATCAAACTGCAGACGAAAGGACGTGGGCACGACGATGAAGCCATTGACAGACTGTTGAATGACCTAATGATGATTAAAAAGTTTGAGTGAATATTATGCTTCACTGTTTTGGTGATTTGATTTTCTCATCTCTTGGTGAATACTATGCTTATTTCTACTTCAAGTTCAAATCGATCCACAATAAGTAGTTAATTTCTCTCTTCAAAATGCACAAACTTGGATAATTAACCTAGGCTACCAGTCAACAATTTTTTGTTAGTTAGGCGAGCATTCGAGATATAAGACACATTAATTAGCGTTTAAGCACCTGACCTAATTAAATGGACCTGTCTATCCCTTCGGTCTTAGGCAGGCTTAGCATCTGGTCCATTCTTATTTGTCCATTAGAATTTGGTCCGACTTTGGCCTGTACGAGAAGTTCTGGCATATGAACACATGAAGACCTTTTCTACCTATATGCATATGTATGCCATAACTTCTCAACCTATACACTCCAGGCTCTATCTTATTACGGGTTGATCTTATCGATGCTTCTTCTTCTTCTTCTTCTTTTTATTGTTTTTTATTCGAAACATGTTAAAATTTTCTAATGGCTTAACATACACTCATGGAATCTAGAACTCCTATTCTTCTTAGAATTTTTTCTTTAATCAGTACCTGTCTCTTGATATTAATTAATAATACAAGAAAGAAACTTTTTGTAATTATATTGCAGAAGAATTCAACATGCATATCTAATGTCTTGTCCAACCATATATACTTATATTCTTCACTATATACATGAATTAAATTTAGCAGCAATAATCAAGTTGAGCATATAACCCAACTCTACACTATTTATGACTTTTAAGTCATGCCTTATCAGAGTGTACAACAAAGACTTAGATCCCCTCTCCGGATCTTCCCTTCTAGATCATTTTCGAAACTCTAATTCTGATCGTTCACGCAAATTGTTAGGCCACGAATAATTTTCAATTTCTTCTTTTTCACCCTACACGCAACATGATCTTTGTGGACGGCTAAGAATTGAGTTTTGTAAAGAATTTGGAGAGAGAAAACCGAAGAGAATCTGGACCCCAAGGAAGCAACCTTCATAAATAAACAACACGATGCAATTCAATATGGGTGTGAAAGTGAATATGTGATGGGTCTATGTAGTAATTATGTGTGTAGGTGTATCGGTCCCGTCCTGTATGGCCTGTGGAAGGAAAAGGGAGGACCTGGTGGTTCCATCCACTCTCCCGATTGTTACTCCTCAATTCAAACCTGACCTGATAGACTGACACCTCTTAACAATATTATATATGCCTATTGTTGTATAATAAAGAAAATTTTAGTTCACTCTGTCCAAGAACAATTAGAAGTAGTACTAGAGAGGATAATTATTAACAATAATTTAATTAATTTTCTTTTATAAGGGAAATTCCACTGTACTTTCTAAAGAAATGGGTATAGATTTCCAATGTTACATAACTATGGTGAGCTTAAAAATGGTATTGTTTATGGAAAGTGTTATTTGCACATTCATTTTTGCTTCACACACTTTTGTTAATTTTGATTCAATCATTTTCTTCAATTCATTCGATTCGACAGCTGGAAATTAAAAAGAGTGTGCAAGAAATAAAAATAAGTGTGTTGATAGCACTACCCTTATTTATAACATTATTAATGTTGGTTGTTACATCTTGGTATAGTATGCGTAGGATATTATTTGTGCATGCCATGAAAAATTACCCGTTATTGTTATTCATATTTGAGCTCCTTACTTTCACGTATTCAATCTGAATTACAATAAAAGGTAAAATCAAGTCATAAATATGTCAAAGTTTACTCCCTAAAGCAATGCAATAGTAACAAAGTATAATTCATGGCGTAACATGACATTGTGAATACCGTAACAAGTTTGATTTTTACGTTGTGGATGTTATAATACATTGCACTATCAAAGTAGAATGCTATGCATGACCAGATTAAAGGGTAGTTTGGTTATTAAGGCCTGATTTGGTACTGAGGTGATTCTTAAAAAAACTGGTATCAAAAAAAGCTGGGAGCTGTTTTTGTGTTTGGTAAACATTTAGCTTCAGCTTTTGTTCACAGTTTTGGGTGAAAAAAGCCAAAAACAAGAAGCTGCAAAACCCAGCTTTGAAAAACCGACTTTTTCACATTTGTTTTACATAAAAGTTTACCAAACATTATAATACTGCTTCTTTTTTTCAAAAGCACTTTTACAAAAAATTTTACCAAACACTCTGCTGCTTTATTTTACAGCTGCTTATTCTCACAGCACAGCATAAATAGCTTTTTTTCAAAGTACACAATACTAAACCAGCCCTAAGTGGTGGGCTAACTATAGTGTAATATTATTATGTGAGTTACAAGAATACAAGGAGTTAATTTCACGGTGTCAGCTGGAGAAACTGAGGGAAATTGCAGGACTGAAGGAGGAGGAGAAGGCAGGCAAGAAAGAGAGAAAGCCAGGTCCCAAGTCCGTATGTGTGTGTGTGTGTGTGTGTGTATAACTTGTTATAAAGCCATGCAGAGGAACGTCTACATCTCTTCTCGGTATTCCATGCGATGTGAAAGCTCAGTGACATCCAGTTTATGCTGCTATCAATCTCCTCTCTCTCTCTCTCTCTCTCTCTCTCTCTCTTCTTGATTTATGACCACCAACCCAATGAGGCGGTGGTTGATTTCAATATTTGCCTGGGGGGCTGTGTATGAATAATAAGAAGCAGAAGAAAGAAAGAGAAACAAGAAAAAGTCAAAAGAACTCAAATCCCAAACAAATTCAAAGGGGGAGGGGGCAGAGGGAAAACCCTAATTTTCATAATTTCACCATAAGGAACGACAGACATAATTCATTGGAGTCCAAGCTAAGATATACGTAATAAGTAGCCCTTCTTTTTTGTTGTCAAAAAGGCGTTGGAATTGCTGAATAAAGTGTGTGTCTGTGCGTGGTTTCTCTCTCCTCTCCATCAATCATAAAGCAATCGAGTGCAAAATCATTTCTCATGCATCTTTTCTTTTCTTTTGTTTCCTGTACCCACTTACTCAACTCAACTACTGTTTTCCTTGATACTGACGTCCTACGTACTTTTTCCCTTCTACTTCCGAAAATTACAAATTTTAGTCTCCAGTCCCTGTAAATAAATAAACTAATTGGCCACTACTTGCACTAGCTCCAGTATCCACCCCACCCACTTGACTCGAGTCAGTTTAGACTTGCCTTTGTAGCACAATACTGAATTAATATAAAATAAAATAAAATCATAGGCAATAATATAAAATTGCACAAATTTTTTTTTCTCACCCACATGTAACTATAGTTTCACATATACGAAAATTATTATCCTCTTCATTTTAGTATTTTTCCTAGAAGTCAAATGTAATCCCTATGCAACCATTCATTCATTTATTGAACATAATAAGTAACATTGTAATAATAGAAAAATGATTGGAATTTGGTATACTAGGTAATATTTAATTTATTTTTGTATATCTTTCTTCTTTTGATATTAATTTTTAATGATATTTGATATAAAATCAGACTTTTTCATGTATTTGGTGAATTTTTTTATTATACATATCAATTTATAAAGGGTCGTAGGTCAAATAACTCTAGGGCCCCAATTCAAAGACTCACCTAGGGCCCCCAAATTCTCAAGCTGGCCCTGATTGCGCTTAGATTTGATATTAGGGGTGAAAAATACATGAATGTGAATCTTTTAACGTTTTAATCTCAACTTTTGATATAAAATTATAAGTGAGTGACCGGACATTTTTATCACTAAGTGGCCAAAGAGAACATTTATCTACATTGTTATATAGTATATGAAGAATATTTTTGAGTGTACGTGCATCTACTAAACTTCTAAATATAACCATAGGAAACACTTATAAAGAAAAGATAGTCTACTGGGATTTTGAGTGGAGAGCTGCAATCGCAATAACTTTAACAGTACTGCATAATTGAACAAGTTTGTGTAAAAGTATTCCTAGTAGAAATAAATATCTGATCGATCTCAATGGACATTTACATACATACATACATATATATATATATATAAGAACAATTGCTAGCCTCCAGTTAAATTTTACTTAGGCATTGTGTTCTCTTTTTTATCTGAATTTAAATACTCTTCTTATAAATTAAAGATTTAAAATATCGCGTGATAAAGAGAAACAAATTAATGAAGCCTAAAATTAAAGTGTTGAAACTAAATATTCGATGTGGAGTAGTTGTAGATTGTATTTTCTGTGTATGTCTTGAGTTTTCAGCGAAAACGTGAACTTGCATAAACCAAGATCAATTTGAACACATAAAACAAACTCAAAGAGCACAGAATTTCTGCGGTTCAATCAAATCCTACCTACATTAATGGATGAGAGAGAAAAGTGAGGTAGAGAGAGCTTAGCATATGCACAATTTTTTTTTTTAAAATAATTGATGATGCCTTCGTTTGTCAGAGAAGATTGTCTTAGATAGAATTATTCATGTGTTAAGGCATTTTACTGGAAGAAGTGGATGCTTATTTTTCAAGTTGAAAGTTACTCATGAAGAAAGTTGTCTCTTTAATTCTTACCATTTTGTGGGATTAGTAGGGATATTTTTTTTCTCTACATGAGTAACCTTTACCCTTGACAAAATATGGAAGATGTCATCTGTTGATGCGCAAACCGGAGGGGTTTTGGAACAACGTAAATCCGACCGTGAATCTGCAAAAAAGTAAAGAACACAAGATGTATCGTGGTTCACCCCAATGTTTGGGCTACGTCCACACTGATGTTGATTGTATTTCTCTGTAACTGTATGTATGAATTACAAGTGTGAGGGGGAGTCCCCTAGAGAAAGAGAGAGTTTGAGAGAGCTTTGCTCTGAATATGAGAGCCTCTGTTTGGGGATGTCAGGTTTGAGGATTGTGATGTGAGGAGTCCCTTTTATAGACTAAGGGCTCCTCTTTTACATAGATCATGGGCTCAATGTCTGGAAGCCCAAGTAACGAGGCCCAATATAATATGATACTAACAGCATCCATTTCTTCCTTCAAAATGTATGTCACTATAGTGAATAATTATATCCAAGACAATCCTCTGCAACAATCATGCTTTATATACAAAGTTACGGACAATATACATATATGCTTCAATTTGAACATACATATGATCGACCTTGATATAGATGAGGGACTTGCAAAATGTTTTCATACAATACATTTGAGAGGACTTTTACATGAGTCTTTAAAATGCGTCATTTTGAA